AGGTGTCAAAATGAGGCCGGTGGGAACCAGTTTAGCCAGATTTGCATGGTGTCCTACTGAGTCTGGATTTGGTCTTTGTCATTTTCATGAGCCACTGTAAAGTTTAAGGAGGGCTGTGACCCAGTTGTGTGTGTGTGTGTGTGTGTGTGTGTGTTTGAGAAAGTTCCCTCTAATGGCAAGTGAGAGAAAAGTTGGAGGGGAGGTCACTTGGGAGGCTTTCCCATTAGGTCACATGGATGAGGACAAGTTCAGTGCTTAGGGGATGATGGGCCAGTGGGTAGAGCCGTGCCGGCTGTGCCAGCGTGAGGGTCAGGGTTTGGATCCCCGCACCCATGTAGCTTCTGGACAACCTGCCTATAAATCTCAGCACAGGATTGCTAAACTCTGGCTTCAGGTGAGAGACTCCGCTTCCTTGTGAGGTGCAGAGTGATCAAGAAAGACACCTGGCCGGGTGGTGGTGGCGCACGCCTTTAATCCCAGCACTTGGGAGGCAGAGGCAAGTGGATCTCTGTGAGTTCGAGGCCAGCTGGTCTACAAAGCTACACAGAAAAACCCTATCTCGAAAAATAAAATAAAGCAAAACAAAACAAAACAAGATACCTGATACCATCCTTGGACTTTCACACTTGTGCCCACATCCATGGAAACACTCAGAGCGATGAGAAGACTGAGACTGGACACAGCGGAGGGAAGGGACTTAAGGGGAGCTCGTGGGATAGGAGCCCAGAGTCATGTCCACATCAGGCACAGCTGCATACAGTCGCTCAACCACGGCCTTTCAGGATGTGGAGTCCCTACTCAGTGCCTCCTCGACAGTTTTTACACCTTCAGCTTCAAACCCTGTGGGAAAGCCTCAACTAACCAATCAGCGTCACGTGTTCTACACATGACTGAAAGAAAGTAGGGTCAAAAGAGGAGTCTGAAAGTGTTATTCTAAAAATTGGGCTGCACAACAGGGAGGTGGAGGAAAAGCACCCCACGTGGAGGCAATGCTGGGCTGAGCCCAGGGCATGGCTCAGACCACTGTGCCTTAGAGGTTCTGGTGGGCTGCACAGTCAGCTCAGAAAGGCCATCCCTTGGGCAGGAGGGAGTCTTGTCTTTTCCAAGAGTCTCTTTCCATGCTCATGATGAGGCGAGGGGGTGACTGTTGACTGGAGTTGTTACAAATCACTGAGGAAGTGGACAGTGTCACTTTTCTGTGACAGGGAGAACGGGTACCAAGTTTTACCACTGACTTGTGTGTGGCTGAACCTTCGGGTTTTCCACCCAGGAAGTGGGTAGGCAGTTTGCTAACAGGAAGCTTCCTTAGAAAACAAAACAGCCGAGCCCTCCCACCTGACAGTGAAGGTTCGAGAGCCATTTACTTCTTTGTACACATCTCAAGATAAACTCCAGACGACAGAGCGTCCCTCTAAATATGTTAATATCAAATACGTCTACAGCATGAAGCAAAGCTCAATATTTGGGACCCATTTTTTCTTTGAGTTAACATTTACATAGGGTGAAACGCAGAAATCTGAATTCTGACAAATGCAGGCACGTCTTTATCCTACACCTGGGTTTATCTAAGAATGACCGTGACGCCAATGGCATCTGTCCTAACCAAGCGGGGCTGATCTAGTTCCTCGGCGTGTTTCAAGGTCTGTCAAGGAGAGAGTGTGGAGGGGAAGAAAGGACAAAGCTCTTCTTTGTTCACAGCCTATTGGCAGTGCCAGTTCGATGCCATGGTTACACGGTGCTGTGAGGGCGGACCCACAGGAAGGGCTCCGTTGGGGTCGGCTCTGTCGTGGCTCCTATCAATATGCCCCATCAGCCCACGGCAGTCCTTTACTATGTGAGCGAAAAGTGACTGGCAGCAGGAACCCAGCGCCTCCAACTGTAGCTGAAGCAGTGCAAATGTGAACAGTGTCCGGGGACGTGATGGCCCAGTAAGACGACAGCTGGCTTATCCGTAGCTCCAACCCCAGGTTTCTTTGATGGTAAAGCCCACCTCCAGCCAGAAAGACAGGACATGCCATTTTCGCCCCTTTCCCCTACTGTGTGTGACATTGTCTGAGTATTTGTTTGTGTTAGGTCCAAAGCAGTGTTCCCAAAATGGCACTACTGGTGACAATGGCCTTAACAGAAGGACTCTGACTGGGTAAACACAAGGGTTGTTACTAGAAAAACAGAAAAACCAAAACAGAGTAGGAAACCCTCTGCTTCCCTTCTCCAGCCCAAGGTCAGCTGCTTTGGGACAGCCCGCTACTGGTCAAAGCCCACATGCTAAATCCTAGGCTGTTCTGCAGCCTCCCCTGCCAAGCTACCTGTGCTCTTATAACTAACAAGGCTTTCCCGACTGCTGACTACTCTCTGACCCCAGCAGTATGGCTTCCCAAACAAACTTTTCTTTCTACTCATGGAGTGGTCTAGTTCAGTGGTTTTTCTGAACCATCGAGTGCAGATCTCATATGTGGACATGCACCCCTACCACACACGTGGCCATGTTAAGGCATAGGGCCTATGCTCTCACAGATGGGATTAGTGCCCTTATAGTAGAAGCCCCTGGAGAGCTCCTTCCGTGTGCAGCGTGTGAGGGCAAGCATGGCAGGCGCCATCTTTGAAGCAGAACAACCGCTCTCACCAGACACTGAATCTGGTGGTTGTTCTGGAATCCTCACCTCCCACAATGCCGAGCGGTAGATTTCTATTGTTTCTAAGTTAAGTGGGGCTATATTTTGGATCTTGAATGCCTCCCAAAGGCCTATGTATTAAAGGCTTGGTCCCCAGACTGGTGTTTTGGGGAGGGGATGTAGTCTTTAAGTGGTGGGACCAAGTAGGAGGTCTTGATTATTTGGGGGAGGGTGTCCTCAAATGGGTTAGCAAGACCCTGGCCCTTTGTTCTGTTGTTTTTTGCCGTTTGGCCATGAAGTACATAGTTTTTCGTCTCCTCCCCTCCTGCTGGGACACAAGCCTACTTTCCTATAGGCTATTGCAACGGGGTCAAACCAGTCAAGAACTGGAACCTCCGATGCTCCAAAGATCGAGAGCCAAAATAAACTTTTTGTTTTGGTAAGAGATTAGCTCAGGTCTTTTGTTACAGTGACAGAAACCTGAGTGGCACACGTAAGAAGCCATACCTTCTCACGACTGCCCATGGACTTGGACAAAGAGTGGTACCGAGAAGTGGCGTGCTCGGCTGTGAAGAAACACCCAAGAATGTGGAAGCGGTTTAGGAACGGGGTGCTAGGGAGAGGCTGGAAGTGTTGTGAAATGCATGTTGGACAAAAACGGAATCACAGACCCTGAGGGAGTTTCTTGTCAAGGCTCAGAGGCAGAGAGTATCAGGGAAGCCTCCAGTCTTCTCAGGATCACATGAGAGCCCATGAACAGCAGCAGTAACAGGAACACTGAAGGTCACTCTGGTGGCTTACCAGGTGGGAGTGGGGACTGGAAACGGGGTGGGGGGAGGGAGGTGACTGTTGTTGAAGAGGCCTGAGACTGAGCCTGTTTGTGTCTTGGTGTTTTCAGAGGGACTGGACAATGACGAGGCCACTTGGTAGGTGGTGAGGAAAGGGCTGTGGGTTCAGCATCCTATCCTGACTTTTTGCAGTGAAAAGAAGATCTGGAACATTCTCAATCTGGCCATATTGTAAAGAATGAAAACACCAAAGAGGTATCCAGCAGACTGTTGATGGATTAGTTCTGCTGGATGCTACATCTTAGAACAATGGCAAACAACAAAGACAGCATCTCAGAGACCTGGGGGGGCGGGGGCGCTCTCCAGGCTAGGATGCTAGCTAGGGTCCTGGGCCTGGAATGGTTCCTTGCATTGTGGTTTAGCAGTCTGACTGCCCAGCTGTAGATAAAGCAGAACCAGGCACAACTCAGGCCACCAATGAATGGCACAGTATGGGTGCGGGCAAAGTGCCATCCCTGTGAATAGCAAAATGTGTTCCCTCCATGCCTGGGTACACCCCCTCAGTTCCCGCAAAGTGCCATCCCCGTGAATAGCGAAATGCATTCCCTCCATGCCTGGGTACGACCCCTTCAGTTTCAAAAGATGTCACAGATATCCTGAAGGCCAGGCAGAGAACTACATGAGGGTGAAGGACAACAAAATCCTTGCTAAGACAAAGCCCCAGGCAGCCATGGGAGAAGGGCCTTCCCAAGACGTCCAGAGACACCAGAGAGCACCTGCAAGACCACAACCTGTGCACGTATCCTACAAAGCCAGGAAGGTTGGGAGGGGAGGCTCCAGGAGAACAGGAAGCCTCTTAACTCCTGAGCCATCTCTCCAGCCCCATAATCTTGTTTGTTTATTTTTTCCTTTTCTTTTGGTTTTTCAAGACAAGGTTTCTCTGTATAATGTCCTGGAACTCACTCCATAGACTAGGCTGTCCTTGAACTCACAGAGATCCGCCTGCCTCTGCCTCCCCAGTGCTGGGATTAAAGGCCTGAGCTACTATTGCCTGACTTTTTGTTCATTTCTTACAGAATACAAGACTGTATCTATTATCAAGAGAACCATGGTGGTGCTGGAGACATAGCTCAGCAGTTAGGAGCACTGGCTCCTCTTCCAGAGGACCCGAGTTCAATTTCTAGCACCCACCTGGCAGCTCACAACTGTCTGTAACTTCAGTCCCTGGGGATCCAGTGCTGTCTTCTAAGGGCACTGCACACACATGGTGCAGTCAAAATACCATTACACATAAGTATAATTTACAAAAAGGAAAGAACTGTGGTTCTGCGATTTGTAGCTTAAGTTTCTAAAACCACCAAGGTGGCCGATGAGGAGTTGCTTCAAAACGACAAGGCAGCAGCATCTCAGTACCCGTAGGTGGTGAACTCGGATGCAGTGAATGTCTTCTGGTTTCTAGACTCCTCTAAGTCAGTGGCTCAGGCTATCCTGCAGGGCTGGGATACACACCGAGTCCTCCGAGGCCTTAATATATTTAATTCTGTCATCCAAACTGGCAGTAGAAAACAGACTTATGACACGTACCCAGCTCAAAGTCTCAACAAAATTATAGATGTCCAAAATTTTTATTTTATTTTTGTTGGCAATTAAGCTGTTTGCTACATCTCCCTGTGTGTTCAACATTCAAAAAATATATTTTTGAAGTGCTTTCTACGTGCCAGGATTTGCTCTAGACACTGGGAAAACAGAAATTCTCCTCACAAGTCCTACCCTAAGGAGCCTTGGATTGGTCGCTTGCACATCGCCGTGACCCAGAGACTTGAGGGGACAACTTAGAGGAGAAAGGATTTCTTTTGGTTTGTGATTTTAGAGCGTTCAGAACATGGTCACCCGGCTTGCGTTTCTAGGCCTGTTGTGAGGCGAATGGCATGATGTGTAAGCAGGCAGAAGAGGCTGCTTCACTATAGGGTAACCGGAAGTAGAAGGCCCGAGAGAAACAGACAAGAGGGGGCCCCAACAGAACTCAGTCCTTGATAATACAACCCTGAAAACCACCATTTACTTCAGCTAGCCCTCACCCCCTAACACTGCCAGACCCTCCCAAAATAGCACCCCCAGCTGGGGAACAAATACTCAACATGTAAGCCCATGGGGGACCCTTTACGTTTTAAACCACGACAAGCCCCCAGAATAGGAAGAACAGAGTGTCCAATCATGTATGAAGGAAACCTCACCTAGGGCCAAAGAATCATGGAAACCTGCAGGAGTTAATTCATCATCCAGTTGACCGTTGGACATACTCATTGACCATCTGCGGTGTGCTAGGAACAGGGAAAACAATGGAGAGAAAGCCCACCCTTCTCTGACGTCACCTTTGGTCCAATGGAAATGCAAGACCCCTGAGCAGACCTTTACAGACGCCAGAGTTTCGAGGGGAAACACCTATGAAGGCCACCACTACACCCGGGACAGTGAGGAGGATGGCGCAGTGCCCACATGTTGCATGGTGAGGATGGAGTGGTGCTTAAGAAGCAAAGGTGGGGAGGAATATCACGTAGAGTAGGGGCAAGGGAGACTGTAGCAAAGGTATTTTCTTTCTTTCTTCCTTCCTTTCTTTTTTTTTTTTTTTTTTTTTTTTGGTTTTTCAAGACAGGGTTTCTTTGTGTAACTCACTCTGTAGACCAGGCTGGCCTCAAACTCACAGAGATCCACCTGCCTCTGCCTCCCGAGTGCTGGGATTAAAGGCGTGCGCCACCACCGCCCAGCTAGCAAAGGTATTTTCAAATGAAGGAAATACACTGGGCAGGGTGGAGGTTGCAAGGAGGTGGTGAGCAAAAAGATAACAAAGTCCTGACGAATCTTGTGAGGTGTTTAAGAGGGAATGTTTACTTAAGAAAATCACCAGCTGCCAAACAGGGTTTTGGAGTGTGAGACACCAGAGGCAGGGTACTGAATAGAGGCTCTTAGAGTTCTCTTTGGGAAGTGCTGGCCATGGCTGACCTCAGAGTGGTGAAGGAACAGCGTAGTCCACAGGAAGTGGGGATCGCTGGCAATAAAGGATGTGAAAAAAGATGCTGATTTCTGCCCTCAGCCATGGGGAAAGTTACCCAGCACAAGAAGCCTGGGCCTGGGAGTACGTCTCCATGGAATGTGCTGGACTTGAGGGTCCTGTGGGATAATCAGACGGACGTAGCTGCAGGCTATGCAGCCTGGAACTGTAGAGGGTGCTCAGCTGGGGCCTGCAGTGGGGAGTCCTTAGGGCAGAGGAGGAGGCTCTGAGTCCTGCGGATGGTGGTGACGTCACTCGGGAACGCTTGGAGGAAGGTGAGAGATAACACCCCAGGAAAGGTAGGGATGGAAGGGACAGCAATATGGACTAAGAGTTGTAATAAGTTACAGAAAGGATGCTAAGCCCTGAACTCTCATCTTGAATAAGCTGCTTCCGGCTGGTGCTGTCTGAAGACTTTGGGGAAGCCTTCTTTTCCTGGCGCCGCCAGCAGAGCTGGAGGCGGAAGTCAGAAGGCCATTTGTGTCCTTTGTGGACTGTTAAAAATACTGTCCAGGAGCACATGAAATAAGCTTCTGTAAGAACTCGATTCTCTTTGATGAATTTGGTCCACATTCTGTGAAGGTACTGGGTGTTGGAGTGAGAGTGGGTGGGGTGGCTTCACAAGAACAAAACACACTTCCTTTCCTTCCAGACTCTCAGGGTGTGGTGACCTGTGTACCCCAAGAACCCTCAGCTATAATGACAAGCCACAGCCTCTAAGAGGTGCGGGAGTGGACAGGGCCTGCAAGGAGGGAGGCAGGCATCCAAGCCATGGTCTAGATAGGGAGGTTCCACACACTCAAATACCAAGACTTAAGATCCCTCAGACCCACATTTACCAAGGGAACAAAAGGGGATGTGGAAAAATGAGTCAATGCTCACAGGCCCAGTGGCCCACACTAAGGAAACAGCCTCCAGAGAAGTGCAAGGGCTAGACCTCTGAGTCTCAGGCCAGAGCTTCTGGAGTATCAGAAACAACATGAACATCTGGAGCAGCAGGGCGTGTGGAGCAGCAGGGCGCATGGAGCATCATCGGGAACGTCAAACTGTCCTGTCCTCTGCGGTAGCTCCTATGTAGGTGGCTTCCTCTGGGGTTTGGGAAGTGCCTGTGTTACAGTCCAGCCATTCTAGATTATTCTAAAATGAGCTGTGTAAGCCCTTTTCAGCTTGCCAAGAAGGCATGGTTGTTTTAGATTGCTGGTTTTCGGCGCCTGCTGGGATCTCAACATCTTCGTAGTCGTTTTCGGAGCCCGAGATGGAAAAGACCTTCTTGTTTCTATCTTTCCTCACTGATGAGTACCAAGCTAGTGGCTGACTTGGCACTTCCTGTGGGGCTAAAGCGCAGAAACGGGGTCATTACAATGCAAGTCCTCTGAGCTTTGAGCCTGTTACAGACCTTCCCACTTCCTGGAAGGCCAGTTCCCCATTTCACAAATGGAAACCAGTCACAGACATGACACACATCTCAGGATCGCCCAAGTGCATGACTGGCAAATGCCGGGCGGCCCTCCTGCCTCCCACCTCTCTGCTTTCAGAGCCTCACATCCAGGGAGCTATGATGCAAACGCTTAGGAAACAGACCACAGCCTGTTGCTAGGTGACCTCAGTTGTGTCCACAGATCTCAGATCACAAGGATTTGATGAGCTTGTTGCTGCATCCCTCCCCACACCCTAGGCTGCTCCCCAGAACCCTTTGCCATTGCTTACATGCAAATCTGCCCCCTAAGAAGGAAGGAAATGGGGTGTGTATGTGTGTGTGGGTTGTTTTCAAAGATAGAATCACTGCAGAATGAGTCCACAGCAGGAACGAGAAGGCTTGCCACTTTCATCTGTGGCTTGAGGATGATTCTCCTGAGGCTTGTGCGTGGGGACTTGGTCACCAATGTGGTGTGTGTGTGAGGGCGAGCTCAGCCATTAACAGTTCCTACTGCTTTGCAGAGGTCCTGAGTTCAGTTCCCAGCAACTATATCAGGTGGTTCACATCCACCCCTAACTCCAGCCCCAGGAGACCCTGTGCCCTCTTATGGACTCTGGACACGGTACACATGTGGGCAGACACTCAAACACATATGAACATAAAACTAAAATAAGGAAAAATGGTATTTTTGTTTTAAGAGATAGAGCCTAGTTAGAAGTGGTATGGGTCCTTCTCTTTGCTCTCTACTCTGTCCTACCATGTGACTTCCCACTGTCACATGGGCCACGGCCATGATGCCATGTTTGTCATGTGAAGTAGCTTTCCAATGCCATGCTGTACTGTGTGGACACTCCCACCCATGCTGCTAACAAAATAAGCCTCTCTTTAGGAAAGCTACCCAGCCTGGAGTATTTTGTCGCAGTAACAGAAAATGGATTAACACACTAATAGCCTAGCTGCACCTACAGTGAGAATCAGATTTGCCTGCACAATAATCTTATCTTCCTCCAAGGACACTGAAAAACCATTGCCATTCCATTTCCTATAAAATGAGTTCATGTTTAGATTCCAGAGGTCAGTTAGTTTGGTGATCATGGGTAAGTCACTTAACTTCTCTGGGTCTCAGTATTGTCCTCTGTCCAAGGAGCAATGATAGCCTTCAGTCTCACAGAGCTATGCGGACTTAAATGAGGTCATGTCTAGCAGGGAGCCAGTCAAGGGAACCAGGAAACATTCAGGAATGGTGAGGCTCACCTGTAATCATTTTTATTTATTTATTTATTGGTTTTTAAAACAGGGTTTCTCTGTAGCTTTGTTCTCTGTCTTGGAACTAGCTCTTGTAGACCAGGCTGGCCTCAAACTCACAGAGATCCAGCTGCCTCTATTTCCTGAGTGCTGGGATTAAAGGCGTGCGTATCACTGCCGGCTCACTTGTAATCATAACACTTGGGAAATGAAGGCAGAAGGAGGAGTTCAAGGTAATCCTTGGCTGCTAAGGGAGTTTAAGATAAACCTGGGCTACGTGAGACCCTGCATCAAAAAACAAAACGAAACGCTAAAAGGGACTGGGGAGACAGTTCAGTCTGCAAAGTACTTGCCTTGCAAGCATGAGGACCCAAGGTTGATCCTCAGAACCCATGGCTGTCTGTCTCTCTGTCTATTTGTGTGGTGGTCAGGGTGGCGCACAGCTGTAATCCCAGGGCAGGACAGATCCCTGGGACTCACGGGCTTGCCCACCTCATCTGCTTGGTGAATTCTAGTCAATGAAAGATTTGGTCTTTTGTGACAGGGTTTCCCTGTATAGCCCTGGCTGGCCCAGAACTCTTTCTGTAGACCAGGTTGGCCTCGAACTCACAGAGACCCCTCTGCCTCTGCCTCCTGAGTGCTGGAACTAAAGGTTTGGTCACCACTGCCTGACTGCAAGACTTTTCTAAAAGAGGTGTGTGGTGCCCAGGAACCACAGCTGAGGGTTGTTGTCCCCTGACTGTCACACGTATATCATTCATTCTTTACACCTGTACACACACACACACACACACACACACACACACACACACACACACGTTAAAAACAAAAGCCACAGTCTGCAACAGGAAGAACCCTCCCTAGATACCCAAGTAGTTAAGGCCTTTATCTCAGAGTCCCAGATTCCACAACCGTGAGAAAATAGTTGCCCACTGTTGAAGCCGCCCAGCCTGTAGTATCTCGTTAGTAAGCTAGACAAGAGCTCCATACGTTC